GGGGGGTACTTTCAGTGACCAGAGCACAGCACGGATTATTACTCTCTGATTGGAGAGTGGCAACGTTCGGTGAACTGAGAGGACAAAGGCAGTGTGTGTGTGTGTGTGTGTGTGTGTGTGTGTGTGTGTGTGTGTGTGTGTGTGTGTGTGTGTGTGTGTGTGTGTGTGTGTGTGTGTGTGTGTGTGTGTGTGTGTGTGTGTGTGATTCACATAAAAAGAGGTGTCAGTATGTAACAGTGCATGTACGTGCTTAAGTACACTTTTGAGCTACTTGTATTGGACCTTGATTTCTGCAACTTTGTGTCTCAAATGCATTTCTGAAGGGGATAAGGTTGGTTTTCATCCACTACATGCATTCAACAGTTCTGACGGGACAATAAGGGCACACACTTTGGCTATGTTGCTTCCATAACGTGTTTTTCTTCCAACATAACAAATCCAAAATGAACATCCAGGTGTTTATTTGACTATACTTTGTCTTTTTGCACCTTTCAACTTCCCCTAAATCCACCCAAAGTTAAAGATGTGTTACTCAAATAACCAGGGTCTCCTATTAAAGGCAATTGCAGGCATTATGTTTCCATTCAAAGCAAATCATATGCTGTACTATTATAGATGAAGCTCCTCAGCAGTAAATAAAGAAGTTCAAATGAACCGTGCTTTGAGCAGCTGCAACATTAACACGTTCCTGACGGATTGATGCAGATATATTAATGCATTGTAATATAACTCGTTTTTTTATGCATAGTAAGAGCTGTTTTTATATTTCACCGATTGTCATTCTGTATTTTTCTTTAACATTGTGAAAGCAGGTCGTAATTAAGTATTTTTGACATGGGTGTATTGCTACTTGTATGCACGTAAAGGATCTCAATGCTTCCTGTAGTCACGTCAGTTGATCTGATACTTAAAGTCACCAGCGCTTTTACAAAACTAGTAGTGTATAGAAAAAGTTAGGATTCATATCTCTATAAATCCAGAAAGGAAATAAAGTTAAAACGATGTGAAACACAGCTCTTAAAAAACATTTCTTGACTTTATGAGGAACATTTGGTAAAAAAGTGTGGAAGTTGAGCAGTCAGCAAAGTGAACAGTATTCACCATTCAGCGGATCATTGCTCTGTTGTTGGGAATAAGATACAAATCAGGAGCTGATGTTTGACAGCAACTCCGGCACAGCAGCAGCCCAAAGGAGCTCCAACTCCCTCCTTCCCTCCCCTCCTCCCTCCTAGAGTCACCCTCTTCCCCTCCTCCCTCCTTCTGCTGCTTTCAGAAAGGGAGTGTGTTCCTAGACTGCTGTCTCCCCCTATTGACCACATGCTGTAACTGTGATTATGGACAAAGTGAAGAGAAGGACACTTTCAAACACCAGAAAATGTTTTTAAAAGTAGAAAATTGAAAGTGTGTATTGAAGATAATGATGCTAAATGTCATGAATAACTATTTTTAAACTGATAATCTTTCTTTTTTACAGGTTTTTTCTATAACCTTCATCAATATTTCGCAATTAATTCCTCCTTGTATGTTGTTGTATGTCACTTTTAGCATATAACTAATACTAATTATATTCCATAAGTCTATTTAAATGTATCTTTCCCCTTATAGCCTTGTAAATATCTATAGGAAAATCCAGTGGAATTAAGCAGCACATATATGTCTTGTGGGCAGCGTGTGTGTGTGTATTTTAGGAGAAACGGTGTGTCTGTATGTGTGTTTTAAGAGAAAGTTCGGTGTGTGTGTGTGTGTGTGTGTGTGTGTGTGTGTGTGTGTGTGTGTGTGTGTGTGTGTGTGTGTGTGTGTGTGGTGCTGGTTAGCAGAGGGAAAAACTGGGATCAAATTCCTTCACGTCACAGGCTGTCGTCCAATCAGATTCGGGCTTTCCTGTGCAGCATGCTCGTGCTCTTATAAAAGCTGAAGGCGAACAGTGTGCAGTTCAAAGCACTCGCGCGTTCTGGGGATTCTACTTGGAGACTGAGAGGAACACTTTACCGTTTCATCCTGCACAGTTGAAGGCAGACTTTCAACCTGCTGGCTTGTTTTTGCTTCCTCGGACCCACTTGCAGAAAACGCACTCTTCCCAGGAGTCTGACAGAAACGTGTGCGTAAAGACAATCCAAATCGGTTTTACGCACGGGAGCAAAATAGATTGTTTTGTGCACTTATCTCAGCTGATAGACTCTGGTCATTTTGGCAAGGTAAAGTCTAATTTAAAGACTTTTCCTTGCGTAAGGCATCAGAAAGAACTCCTCCGTTTCACGCGTATTTTGGCACCACACCGCTTTTCGTATGAATCTCCTCGACCCTTACCTTAAGATGACGGAGGAACAAGACAAGTGTCTCTCTGACGCCCCCAGCCCGAGCATGTCCGAGGACTCCGCGGGCTCCCCGTGCCCCTCGGGCTCGAGCTCAGACACCGAGAACACGCGCCCCTCAGAGAACGGGCTGCTCGGTGTGGACGCAGACTTCAAGAAGGAGGAGGACGATAAGTTTCCCGCTTGCATCCGCGACGCTGTGTCCCAGGTGCTCAAGGGCTACGACTGGACCCTCGTGCCCATGCCCGTGCGCGTAAACGGATCTTCTAAGAACAAGCCTCACGTGAAGAGACCCATGAACGCCTTCATGGTTTGGGCTCAGGCTGCCCGCAGGAAGCTCGCGGATCAATATCCTCACCTGCATAACGCGGAGCTCAGCAAAACTCTGGGGAAACTCTGGAGGTGAGTGTCAATGTGATGCTTTTCGGTTTTTAAACACCGATTTCTGCACACATTTAAGAAGTAATGTGATTTTTATCTAGTTTGGCCTGGTTTCTATTTTGTACATTTACTGTTTGTCTTCTATGTAATGCTAAATTAAATAGTTTACATGGTATTTTTTTGTTTGGGGAAATCATTTAAAGTGACTCTCGGTTAATTAATGGTCCCTTTTCCTCGCAGACTTCTCAATGAAGGAGAGAAGCGGCCGTTTGTGGAGGAGGCTGAGCGGCTCCGCGTGCAGCACAAGAAGGATCACCCGGACTACAAGTACCAGCCCCGGCGGAGGAAGTCTGTGAAGAACGGGCAGAGCGACGCGGAGGACGGCAGCGAGCAGACACACATCTCTCCCACCGCTATCTTCAAAGCCCTGCAGCAGGTAGACTCTCCGGCCTCCAGCATGGGAGAGGTGCACTCTCCGGGGGAACTCTCAGGTGAGCTCAGAGAACAGATGGCTCTCAGTAGGCAGACATTTCCAGAATCAGAATCTGGTGTAAATAGCCCAGGAGGTTTGCACTACAAGGGATTGTAGTGCAAACTTCGTGCAAATAGGAGAAAAGTGTAAAAAATCTAAATTAAAAGAAACAAGAAAGAAAATCTAAAATGCTACTAAAAACCTTTTATTATATATTTAATGCTCCATTTTCTTCCTTATACTTATTTATACTTATTACTTATTTTGAAAAGTTGATAAAAATCAAACCCTATTGGATTACACAAAATTAACACAGAGAGCCTGATCTAATCTGAAAGCAGAGTCTAATCTGTCTCATATTGTTTCACTCTCAGGTTCCCAGGGGCCTCCCACCCCCCCCACCACCCCAAAGACTGACATCAGCTCCGTCAAGATGGACCTAAAGCGTGAGGGGGGTCTCCGCTCTCTCTCAGACGGACGCCAGCTCAACATCGACTTCCGCGACGTGGACATCGGCGAGCTGAGCAGCGACGTCATCTCCCACATCGAGACCTTCGACGTCAACGAGTTCGACCAGTACCTGCCCCCCAACGGACACCCCGCCATCCCCGGCAGCGTCACGCCAATCACGTACACCGGCAGCTACAGCATCAGTGGAGGAGGAGGAGGAGGAGGGGGTCCAGGGAGCCCTCAGAATACAGCATGGCTGGCAAAAACCCAAACCCAAACCCAGCACTCTCTGGCCGCCGTCAGTTCCTCCGAGAGGACCCAAATCAAGACGGAGCAGCTGAGTCCGAGTCACTACACGGAGCAGCAGAGCTCCCCGCAACACGCCGCCTTCAGCCCCTTCAACCTGCAGCACTACAGCCCCCCTGCCTCCACCTACACCTCCTCCAGGGCGCAGCAGTACGACTACTCCGAGCACCAAGGGGGGGCAGGAACAGCTTCTTACTACAGCCACGCGGGGGCGGGACAAAGCTCGGGTCTGTACTCGACTTTCAGCTATATGAGTAGCAGCAGTCAGAGGCCAATGTACACACCCATCGCTGATAACGCGGGGGTGCCGTCCGTCCCTCAGACCGGCCCCCAGCACTGGGACCCAGCACCCGTCTACACCCAGCTCACCAGACCATGAAACCCCCCCAAAAACACTTTGAATTTGGGGAGGGGGGCTCCCTGAATCAGACACTTGAAGAGTAGAACAGCTGGACTTGTGATTGGCTCACGTCGTGCCTTGCTATCTTGATAGAAACGATATATATATATTTTTAGAGAGATGATAGAAAAAAAAATCCTCTGTGAGGACTTTTCGATTGTTGATATTTCCGTAGGTACTGTGTATGTTTCTCTTATTTTTCTTCTGGCAGTTTGTAACCCATGGGGGTGGGGGAGAGGTCATTATTTGTACCTGTATGAACAGAAAGCTTTATATATTTCAAAAGGTCAGCAGCTAACCCGCTCTGTTCGACTTCAGTTCTATCTTGTGCCATTCAGCAAGTATGGTTTGTATTTAAGCTGTTGATTTGTTTATTCAAGAAATGTGTTATGATCGTCAGAAAAAGTTATTAGGCAACACAGAGAAAGAGAGGCTTGATTTCACAATGCCATTTTTGAACACATAAAAAGAGGTG